GATCCACACAGTCAAAGGCTTTAGAATAGTCAATGAAGCAGAAGTAGATGTTTTTCTGAAACTCCCTGCCTAGTATATGCCTAGTATAGATGTATGTGTGTCTGTCTTTGTTTTGTAAAGCCTGGCAATGGGATAGACACCTTGCCCTCACCTAAGATGGCGCCACGGGAGCCTTGGGTGGGTCACGCGGTCCCCGATGCGGCTTCTCAGAAAGCCCTGACTCGTTGCCCTTTCCCAAGATGGCGTCGCCTGCTCCGCCTCCTTTCGAGTCACGTGTTCTCTGTGAGGCCCGGGCGATTGTGACGACGCGGAAGCGAATTGCGCCGCCTTCTGCCTCCTTCCTTCCTTCCTTCCTTCCTTCTTTCCTTCCTTCCCGGCGGCTGAGGGTCCTCGAAAAGGAAGAGGACGACGACGAGAAGGAGAAGGAGGATAAGGACCCATCGCGGCCGCCATGAGGAGGCCGTGCTGCCGGCTGCTGTTGCTGCTGGATCTCTTCTTGGGCCTGGCCGGCGCCTTCTACCTGCCGGGCCTGGCCCCCGTCACCTTCTGCCAGCCCGAGGCCCGGGAAGCTCAGGCAGGACAGGCCGAGGCCGCAGGGTGCAAGGTAGGCCGCGACAAGGGATAGCAGCACCACCTCTCTCTCTTTCTCTCCCCCTGACAGATGGCCATCCAGCCTCTGTTTAAATCTTCCAAAGAAGGAGCCTCCACCACACTCCGGGGCAGAGAGTTCCACTGCTGAACGGCTCTCACAGTCAGGAAGTTCTTCCTCATGTTCAGATGGAATCTCTTCTCTTGTAGTTTGAAGCCATTGTTCCATTGCGTCTTAGTCTCCAGGGAAGCAAACAAGCTTGCTCCCTCCTCCCTGTGGCTTCCTCTCACACATTTATACATGGCTATTATATCTCCTCGCAGCCTTCTCTTCTTCAGGCTAAACATGCCCAGCTCCTTAAGCCGCTCCACATAGGGCTTGTTCTCCAGACCTTTTATCATTTTAGTCGCCCTCCTCTGGAGACATTCCAGCTTGTCAATATCTCTCCTGAATTGTGGTGGCCAGAATTGGACACAATATTCCAGATGTGGTCTAACCAAAGCAGAATAGAGGGGTAGCATTACTTCCTTAGATCTAGACACTATGCTCCTATTGATGCAGGCCAAAATCCCATTGGCTTTTTTTGCCGCCACATCACATTATTGGCTCATGTTTAACTTGTTGTCCATGAGGACTCCAAGATCTTTTTCACACGTAGTGCTCTCGAGCCAGGCATTTTCCCCCATTCTGTATCTTTGCATTTCATTTTTCATCCCCTCTATCATGTACTGCTCTCTATCTCTCTATCTATCTTTCTGTCACTATCTTTTTCTATCATCTATCACTATCTTTCTATAATCTGTCTATCTTTATAACTGTATATCACTTTCTATATATCTATCACTCCCTTTCTATCACATATCACTAGCTCTATCTATCTATCTATCTATCTATCACTTTCTATATCTATCTGTCACTGGAATGTGTCCAGAGGAGGACGACTAAAAGGGTCTGGAGAACAAGCCCTATGAGGAGCAGCTTAAGGAGCTGGGCATGTTTAGCCTGAAGAAGAGAAGTCTGAGAGGAGATATGATAGCCATGTATAAATATGTGAGAGGAAGCCACAGGGAGGAGGGAGCAAGCTTGTTTTCTGCTTCCCTGGAGACTAGGACGAGGAACAATGGCTTCAAACTACAAGAAAGGAGATTCCATCTGAACATGAGGAAGAACTTCCTGACTTTGAGAGCCGTTCAGCAGTGGAACTCTCTGCCCCGGAGTGTGGTGGAGGCTCCCGCTTTGGAAGCTTTTAAACAGAGGCTGGATGGCCATCTGTCGGGGGTGATTTGAATGCAATATTCCTGCTTCTTGGCAGAATGGGGTTGGACTGGATGGCCCATGAGGTCTCTTCCAACTCTTTGATTCTATGATCTATCTATCATCTATCTATCACTTTCTATATCTATCTGTCATTGTCTATATATGAATCCCTTTCTTTCACCTATCACTAGCTATGTCTATCATCTATCAATTTGTCTAAACTTTCTATATCTAATTGTCACTATCTATATATCTATCACTTCCTTTCTATCATCTGTCACTAGCTCTATCTATCTATCTATAACTGGCAGATCTCTCTCTCTCACTCACTATCTTTTTCTATCATCTATCACTATCTTTCTATAATCTGTCTATTTTTATAAGTATCTATCACTTTCTATATATCTACCACTCCCTTTCTATCACATATCACTAGTTCTATCAATCAGTCAATCAATCAGTCACTTTCTATATCTATCTGTCGCAGTCTCTCTCTCTCTCTATATATATATCACTTCCTTTCTCTCACCTATCACTAGCTATGTTTATTATCTATCTGTCTATCTAATAATAATAATAATAATAATAATAATACTAATCTTTATTTATACCCCGCCACCATCTCCCCAGTGGGGACTCGGAGCGGCTTACATGGGGCAAAGCCTGGACAACATATTGCAACAAAATAAAACCAGAGCATAAACAATAAACAACATCATCAAATTACATTAAAAAAAACCCCACACTAAACTTTCTATATCTAATTGTCACTATCTATCTATCTATCTCTCTATATGAGCTTCCGCTATTAGCTCCAGCTCCTGCCAACCTAGCAGTTCAAAAACATGCAAATATGAGTAGATCAATAGGTACCGCTCCATTGGGAAGGTAATGGCACTCCATGCAGTCATGCCGGCCACATGACCTTGGAAGTGTCTACGGACAACACCGGCTCTTCGGCTTAGAAATGGAGATGAGCACCACACCCCAGAATCGGACATGACTGGACTTAATGTCAGGGGAAAACCTTTACCTTTACCTTATATATCTATCACTTCCTTTCTATCATTTGTCACTAGCTCTATCTATCTATCTATCTATCTATCTATCTATCTATCACTTTCTGTATCTATCTATCACAGTCTGTCTATACATATATTGCTTCATTTCAGTCATCTACCACTAGCAATATCACTCTCAAAATCTATCACTCTCTTTTTCTATCAACTATCACTATCTTTCTATCATCTGTGCCTGTCACTTTCTATATCACTATCTATTTATCACTCTTTTTCTATCATCTATCACTATCTTTCTATTATCTTATCTACCTGCTATCAATCACTTTCAATATCTATCACTGTTTGTCTAGATTATCACTCCCTTTCTATCATCTACTTATCTCTCTTTATCTATATACCTATCACTCCTTTTCAATCATCCATAACTAACAATATTTAACTATAACTTTTTATATCTATCTGGCGTTGTTTGTCTATATATCTATCCCTTCCTTTCATCTATTTAACTCTCTGTCTATATATCTTTCGCTCCCTTTCTATCATCTATAATTAAATCTATCATCTATGTTATTCTCTGTCTATATATCTATTGCTTCCTTTCTATCATCTATCACTATATCTATCACTGCCTTTCTATCATCTAATTAAGTCTCTCTGTCTATATATCTATCGCTCCCTTTCTGTGATAGAAAGGAAGATACTGATAGACAGAAAGAATAAATGATAGTGATAGCTATAGCTAGTATAGGTGATCTATACTAGCTATAGCTATCACTATCATTTATTCTTTCTGTCTATCAGTATCTTCCTTTTTTATCATCTACCATAATCTATTATCTATCTATCAATTTCTATATCTATCACTGCCTGTCTATATATCTGTCACGCCCTCTCTATCATCTATTTAATTCTCTCTTTGTCTTTATCGCTCCCTTTCTATCATCTATCACTAGCTATATCTGTCACTCTCTTTCTATCATCTATCTCTTTTTCTATCATCTACCTGTCACTGTCTGTATATCTGTCTCACCCATCATCTATCACTAGCTCTATCTATCTATCACTTTCTATATCTATCTGTTACTGTCTATATATGTATCACTTGCTTTCTACCATCTATTTAACTCTCCCTGTTTATATACCTACTCCCCTGCCACGCATTGCTGTGGCCCACATGGGGGTTCTGTGTGGGTGGTTTGGCCCAATTCTATTGTTGGTGGGGTTCAGAATGCTCTGTGATTGTAGGTGAACTATAAATCCCAGCAACTACAACTCCCAAATGTCAAGATTCTATTTTCCCCAAACTCCACCAGTGTTCACATTTGGGCATATTGAGTCTTCGTGTAGAGTTTGGTCCAGATCCATCATTGTTTGAGTCCACAGTGCTCTCTGGATGTAGGTGAACTACAACTCCAAAACCAAAGGACAGTGCCCACCAAACCCAGTATTTTCTGTTGGTCATGGGAGAACTGTGTGCCAAGTTTGATTCAATTCCATCAGAATTGTGGTTCAGAATGCTCTGTGATTGTAGGTGAACTATAAATCCCAGCAACTACAACTCCCAAATGACAAAATCAATTTTTTGAGTGAAGGACATACATTGGGTTGTTAGGTGTCTTGTGTCCAAATTTGGTGTCAATCAATAGCCATCTCAGACACAGCGTTCGCCAACTCAGAGTTCATATTTCGTTCCACCTTGTCCAATTCCTATCCATCGTCACAGTCCCTTCTTCATCTGCCAGATTGCCCAAACGCCTGGTCCCACATCCATGTTTTTAATTTCTTTCTGAATGAAAGTAGGGATGTTGCTGATCTGATCTCCCCGGGGGGTGAATTCCATAGGTGAGGGGCCACCACTGAGAAGACCCTGCTCCTCGTCCCCGCCAATCTCACTTGTGACAGAGGCGGGGTCGAGAGCAGGGCCTCCCCAGAGGATCTCAGACTCCGAGATGGGACGTAAAGGGAGATGCGTTCGGACAGATACGCTGGGCCGGAATCGTATAGGGTTTTGTAGGTCAAAACCAGCACTTTTAATTGTGCTCAGAACTGGATCGGCAGCCAGTGGAGCTGACATACCAGGGGGGTGGCATGCTCCCTGTATGACGCTCCGGTGAGCAATCTGGCTGCCTCCTGCTGGACTAATTGAAGTTTCCGAACAGTCTTCAAAGGCAACCCCACGTAGAGTGCGTTGCAGTAATCTATCTGGGATGTAACAAGAGCATGGACCACCGTGGCCAGATCGGACTTTCCAAGGTACGGGCGCAACTGGCGCACAAGTTTTAATTGTGCAAAAGCTCTCCCGGCCACCGCTGAGACCTGGGATTCCAGGCTCAGCGATGAGTCCAGGATCACTCCCAAGCTGCGAACCTGCGTCTTCAGGGGGAGTGTAACCCCGTCTAACACAGGCTGTAACCCTATGCCCTGTTCGGCCTTACGACTGACCAGTAGGACCTCTGTCTTGTCTGGATTCAGTTTCAATTTGTTAGCTCTCATCCAGTCCGACACAGCAGCCAAGCACCGGTTCAAGGTCTGGACGGCCTCCTTGGTGACAGGTGAGAAGGAGTGACAGATTTGGACATCATCTGCATAGAGATAACATCTCATTCCGAAACTCCGAATGATCTCCCCCAGCGGCTTCATGTAGATGTTAAATAACATCGGGGACAGAATTGAACCCTGTGGGACTCCACACAATAACAGTTGTGTGGCCGAACAGGTGTCGCCCAATAACACCTT